TTTGTTTTACTTGCCCTGCCGGCATTTCTTCCTTCACTCATTTCTTATTTTTTCACTCAAAATTAGGTGTGGCCTGGGCCCCCTAGGCCCCTCCCCTATATCCGCCACTGACATGTACACCATAGAGTACGTATTTATTAACTTGAAGTTGATAAAGGTAAAACAACCAGTATAGCAAGTTTACAAAGTTGACGATTCAGCCATAAACACAAAGAGCTAATGCTCCAATTATTAGCTTCTGAAAAGGAAAGCTAGCTTCCCAATAATGGAAAGTAAAATCCTCCACTTAAGAGTCATACGGTCTAATAAATGGCCACTTGTTAACCTGCTACCCCCCGTTAAGTAGCCTGAGTTCTTAAAGTCCTAAAATTGTTGTCAGTAAAATATGGTAAATAAAATCCCTATTAACTAGCACTTCTCTTTAGCAGCTGCTACCACCTTTTAATCATCCTGATGAGGGTTTCCTATTGTCCTTTCACCCCTATAAGCAGCCACCCAAAATTTAATACATGCACAGCTCTAAATAGAAAGTGACCATTGACAGAAACTTGATTCTATGTTGAGACCAAGGGTCTGCACAAAGTGTGTGTCAGCGAGTCATGCAAGCCATTCGAATTAACTTAAATAACAGTATGGTTAGCTTAAATTAAGCCTCACCCCCCCACCTAAAAAAATTCCTTAGTTAGCTTGCAGTTAACCTTTAAGATCGAGCCACTAGGGATACCAGCTTACATGGCTCACTTGCTGGTAATTAGCCCAAATAACACTCCCTATAAGCCTAACTAGCACTCCATTTAGTCTAAGTCAGCTTAGTAAATAGCTTGTGATTAGCCTTTTTAGGAGGTAGAAGGATTCTCATTAAGTGCCAGCTATGAAAGCAGCTACTTTGATTTCCAAGCTGCCTACTTCTTGTGAAATAATATGTGACTGTGTAAGCTGTAAAATGTAATATAGGGAAACACAGGTCTTTTTGGAATGTGATTGAACCCTGACTGTCTTTATCTCAGGACAGTCAAGGCTTAAAGACTAGAGAGGTGGCATGGGGTCAGGGTGTGGTGTACATTTTTAAATTACGCTGTGGTGCTGTAGTGCTGTAGGATGAAAATTGAAAAATGTCTGTGCAATTCCTTAATATTCTTGGCATATTTTCAACTTTTTTAAAATTGATTTTTTTTTTCAGGAAGTATCTCCAAGAGAATGTGTAAAACAGCATTTCAGAGCCTCCCAATTTAAAAATTTTCAGTGGGAGCATTCCCCAGGACCTCCCTAGAGGTTTTTCTTTTCAGCACTTGAATTGGTGTCAGTCATCTACTTCATGAAACTAGCCCTCTACTACCTAAATATGGGAGGCTGCTGGCTCGCACTCCTAGCTGGCTTGCAAATTTATTTAGTAACACTTGTCCAAAATTGCGTGTTGGTATTTGAAAACTTAAGGTTTCTACGGAGCCTTGTGCTAATTCCTGACGAACTTCTAGTAAGCAGCCAAGCCCTATTAAGGGGCCACCTCCCATTTCCCCAAGGGTGATTCAATTGTATTTTGATTATCANCCCAAGGGTGATTCAATTGTATTCTGATTATCAAAAATTAATGTAAATTCTCTTTGGTGGCATCATTAATCCCTTGTATGAAATGGTACAAAATTAACACTTTGTCCTCCCCTCCCCCCTCCAGGGAGGGAGTACTCCCAGAAAAGTTGGGTAAGGGTGTGCAGTCCTCTTCCCAAAACCCTCACCCTATTTATAATCTGGCCAAAAATTTGATACCCTATTTATGATTGATGCGGCTGGCACAGTTGCCCTAAACATAAGTTATGAAGGACTTTTGTTGACAGTCTTATTGATAATGATGAAAAAGTAGCTTCTTCTAAGAAACATACCCAATTCGAGACTAGAGTGCTAAGACCATACCCTATTTAACACCAAAATGCCCAAAATCGATACCCTCCCCCCCCCCTTCACCTTGGGACTTTGTCAAAGTCACGGTTTCCAGAAGCAAGAAAGGAAGTTGGCTAACAGCCAGTGACCAGAAGTAGGGGCTTGATCTGCCAAGCAGACGTCAGTTCTTCGTGGTAGATCAATTGCGTGACCGGCCGCAGAGCTTGAAAGCTACGATATCGGCTTTGAAGGTCAACCACTGAGGACACTACGTAAATATCACTAAAAACTGCTTTAGCTTTATGAAGCTTAAGCTTACTGTATTTTGCGATTCGCAGTTTGTTCAACAATCCCGTTGTCGCAGAAAACAGACATTATGCTTAAAATTAGTTTCCACCATCGCTGATATTAGAGGTGTAAACCCTTTAAAGATGTTTTGATGTTTGTAACCGTCAGAAGCATATTGACCAATATCGGACTTCGTTCACTATCACATTCTTTCGCAAAATTCGAAACCGAAAGTGCAAAACTGACTGCAGAGTATTAATTACGAATTTAAGTTAAATTATAATATTGGCAAATCATGAAATCGTGCTGGTTGAAGCAAATTACTGCTGCAAGCACAGCCAAGTTTATTATTTCCTCAATAGAGTCATGCGTTATTAATATCGCATGTGCATTGCGAGGTTATAACTTACCACGTTACGCCGCAACCTCTTGTCAGCTGGCCTGTGACTTTCTGCTTTCCACTCCAGAGTTAGAACAACAAGGACGAATAATCCAACAGCAGTCAAACGATGTCGTTTCGCGATTAACATTGCAACTAACTTGATGACGATGGTGGCTTTCGCGCGACGGAAGCTTGAACATCAATTCAAGCGAGACAACCTGACGGCATTAACATGCTAACCTCCATCAGGCTAATATAAAAAGTTGTGGGCGGTACAGGAACAACTAACAGCCGAATAACGTCACCAGCGAGTTATTTACATAACAATGAAATGAATGTTTACAGGTTCGCTGAATTCCTCTTTCTCAGAATTAAAGAAGCGTTTAGCACGCTTACATCTGGATAAGTCGAATGGCTTATTTAAACTTAAGCTTATAAGTCTCCAAGCTTAGTTCCTAAAAAGCAAAAGGCGTTAAATGACACAGTTAAAGTTTAGTAATAAACAGAATAAGCTTCATTTTCACTGGAAGTGGCATAAAAAAAGAAAAAAAGATAAGTAATCATAATAAGCGCAATCTAGAATAAAGTAATTAATAAGGTTCGTCATGATTTTTCCGGTTTAAAAGTGACAAAAGCATAGATCACAAGATGCCCACAACGGAGGCGTACTTATCTCTTCAATTTCAATCTGATGTTGCCGCAGGGCCTTGGAAAAATAAAACATCAAAAAGTATATTAGGTAATAAACTTATGATATATTATTAGCATCTGTTGAAAAGCTTGAAAACATTAACATTTCAATCTGCAAAAACATCAAAAATTTTTCATCACCACTTTGAGAGGCTGGAGCAGGGGAGCAAAAAAAGCGCACTGGGAACGCCGGGAAGGGGAGCATTTTCAACAGAAATACACGTTTTACAATAGTTGCAGAAATTCTCGCTCCTTCATTGACTAATTTTCATTGTCAACAGACACATGATTTTATAATTTATGCAATGAGCGAGAGCGGACAATTTGTTGTTGTAAAAGACATGTTGACGTCAGTTTTTCACGCTTCTGTCACTGACAATGAATTTCGTCATAACATTGTCAAAGTAGTCTGCGGATCCACTAGCCACTCGGCTATCCACAGCAACGTTGACCAAATTCTTTGTCACTAACAGGACAAACGCATGAAAAACTGACGTCAATTTGTTAAATCGCATCGATGTACTTGCTGGGAGCCATCATCAAAAGTCGTGAGACGGAAATAATTAACTCCACTTTTCGTTCCCAGATTTCTTGTGTAACCACCCTGCAATCAGAGCCTCTTTTATCCCTTTTTTGAGCGGATAGGAGAAGGAAAAAGAGGAAGCCTTTTCTCGGTAGAAAGCATTTGTACCGTAAGAAAAGGCTAGGTGGAAAACGCGGGGCCGGGGTCTCGGGGCACGGGGTACGGGGTTCCGGGGTGTGGAAAACGCGGGGTCTGGTGGAAAACACGGGGTTTAAGTGGGAAACGCGGGCTCTGGTGGAAAACTCAGGGTATACGTGGAAAACACGGGGTCTAAGATAGCCCTTGGCGGATTGTGCTAGCACAGGAGCCATTATGGCTCCTAGCTAGCATAATGTTTGGCATAATTGGAGCAAAAAAGCATAATTTTTTAAACGAGCACTGCCACGGCATAATTAGCAAATTTTAGCACTTTTTGGAGCATAAATTCATAAAATTTAGTAAATATGATGTATTTTCTACATCAATAAATTAAATTTAGGTAGTATGTTCTTGCAATGCGTGTTTTCGTTGCGCTAATAGTATTATCGACTTTGTTCTGACATGCTTAGTTACTAGGCCTCTTTTGACGAATTCTGGCGAATTTAGCGATCAGCAGGCAAGCGTAATGTTGCAGTACAATAAGCGCTGATGTTGACTTGTGTATACTATTCTTATCCATGTTTTTTCAAGCAATTATTGGTGCTGAAGGAACTCAGAACTGTCAAGACAAGTTGATTTACTTCGTGGCTTGATACTTTCAACGTTATAGTTC